AAAATTTTTGATTATTTTGAATGAAAAAGAAAATGAAAAGAATTCTATTAGGATCTAAAATTTTTATGTGTATGCTTGTCGAGCATTAATCTCGCTAAAAAAGGGGAAATACTAAAGATTCCGTGAAGGTATTAAAATATTTTCATAATAAAAATCTCAGGAGGATTTATGAAGCAGGTATAATATCCATCTCACGCACGGTGAATACTAGACCTGGTTTCTTTCCAAATTTTTCTTCATATATATATATATATATATATATATATAGATAGATAGATAGATAGATAGAAGTAGGACTATTCTGTCGTCTTCCGACGTATGAGGGTCCTGCAGCTAAGTTGTTAGGACCGAACAGCCAAACTACTCGCACATGGTTTGATTGTTGTGGGGGAAACTTGTGCAGAACCAACGATGCGTTTTAAAGTGCCAAATACGGATAGTTTATGCACACGCTGCCGCAAGCCCCCCCCAAATGATCCTCCTCAGGTTTTGAATCCAGACTTCTTCTCCAAGACCGGTTTCAACCCAAGACTATAGGACCTAGTCTTCCCTGCTATTTTCCCATAGCTGGGAAGGAGAAAAGATGAATTCATAACTTCCCAAGGGACCTAGTCGAATGCAAACAAGTCATCAGGAACTCGAAATCAGCCCTCCAAATTTACCGTGCATTCATATATTGGGATGGTACATAATTATCTGGCGTTTTTGTAGGTGAGCTATTTGTTATTGAAAATTGCTGTTTTGTTTACATTTTTAATAAAAATATTAAGTATGTAAACTCTTCCAATAAGTATATATCTAATATATATATATATATATATATATATATATATATATATATATATATATATATGTATGTATGTATGTATATGTTTCATTAAATACTATAAACAAGTTGTGTCTATTTATTTTAAGTAAGTTCCTTTCATATTGTCTGATAAGCTTAATAATATTATCATTGAAAGACGAAAGGAAATCGTCATATTGATACATGTTTAAATCCGGTCTAAGCTTTAGTGTTTATATTCGTAGAAAGGGGACTCATTGTGCCATAATTCAAATTCCGTTTGCGTTCACTTTTGCATGAATCCATCTTTTCTCTATCTGTGGGTTAAATCACAGAGTAGACTGGCTTCTTTTGCCTTCAATGGCAGCCACTCGAGAAGTTAGTCAGTTAGTTACATGTCATACGTGATACACGTTGGGGCGATCATGTCTCTTTCGATTCATGACTGACTAAGCAGAATAGTTTCTCACCGTAGGTTGGAATTTCTTTCAAAGAGGGGTTGCCAACCAAGGCTATAGAACCCAGTTTGTCCTGATATTCAACCTCTAGCGGGGGAAGTAGAGGTGGATTCTTATCTTTCCCAAGGTGATTGTAACGAAGCAGGCTGTAATTCGAACTCGGCTCTCCGATTTCTCATTCCAGTACACCACATAGCACATGTGCACTCCAGGTGTACTACCCTGCATTCAAAATATTGGAAAGATAACAGAAAACAAGTTCACTCAAGGAAGCTGTGGAAAGGGATACGTCGTTACAAAATACACGCATATAGATATTAGTATATATCAGTGCTTTTATTCTTATCCGACTCTTGATATATCTGTGTACCGAAGTCAGTCAGTTATGTCCCATGCGTGATAGACACTTGGGCGATCATGTATCTTTCGATACATGCCTGACAAGGCAAATTTTTTTTCCAGATGTAGGTTGCCATTTCTTTCTGCGGTAGACCAGTGGCCATACAACGCTATAGGACCCGATCTGTCCTGTATTTACCCATAGATGGGGGGAGAGAAAAGAGGATTCATATCTTTCTCAAGCGTATTAGCAAGTAATTGAATGTAATGGATTCGACTGGAATTCGAACTGGGCTCTCCGACTCCTCAATCCGAGTCACTATCCATTCCTCCATTACGCTTCTCTGTACCCAAGTAGGCGCTACTTATTGTATGATTATATCGGCGTGAACTGACACGGATATGTACGTATTCATGGTTGCACAATCTAAAGCATTTATATTTATATATATATTTTTTCATTTTATTTTTGCCTATATTTGTACGTAGCTATTTTTACTGTATGTGTTTTGCACGCCAACGTGACTGTGATATCATTATACTTATCAGAAACTGTCTTGCATTCGTAATAGAGAATGTCTGTTTTTGTATTCCGTCATCAGTAACGGGTTGCTCCCGTGTGGTTGTCTCTACGTAATTTTTAGTTTTACGCTTAATGAAAATTATCGCTCATCCTCACCATGCACCATACCTTTGTAAAGTAAACCTTACGCAGAAATCAGGCAGAATAAATATTAACCTTAGCGTGATAGGAGACATAAGACTGGAAATGTTTTAGGTGCCTTACTCTTATGGAACGACCACCGAAGCACTTATTATTTGCCAATCTTTTATTTTATATATATTTTCAAGAAAACAGTGTTTTCTTTCATTTTTGCTCACTAAATTGAAGTTTTCTTTGGTTTGTTAAGACAAATGTCTTAATGTAGTGATGACTGGCTCCTTTAGTAAATAAGAGAGTTTAACTTTCTGCGAACTGGCTTCATTTATAATTGGAGAGGATTTGATAAATGGTAGATGACTCCAAGTGCATGCGACTTTGAGGAGTAAAATGCTGCCGTGCAAGTTGTGTGGTTTTCTAAAAGTAAAACGGAAACAATCTTGGAATAGAAAGCACAGTAGTTTTTGTTGTGAGATAGTTGTTTTCGGTTCATTGATTATATATAGAGTTCAAGTGAATGGAGAAGTCTCAGTGAAATGACGCCATTTAAGATAAATGGGAACAGAAGACAAGAGATGACCACCACAAGATACACATACACGCGCGCGCACACACACACATACGCACACACAGACATCTCCTCTCTCTCTCTCTCTCTATATATATATATATATATATATATATATATATATATATAAGTTAAAATGGTAATCCATATAAAATTTCCAAGAGGATAAAGATCCAAGAAGACATTTATGTCAGTGAATTAATTTATGAATATCAAACACTTAAATTACCGTAGGTAATAATCTTTATTTCATGAAAGCTATAAAAAAAGATTGAAGGCTATTTTTATAGATTTCATGAAATTATATAAATATTATAGTTTTCATATAAATTTATAGCTTTCATTACATATAGATTGTTACCTATGGTATTTTAAGTGCTTGATATTCGTTAATATATATATATATATATATATATATATATATATATATATATATAAAGTATATTGAGGTCAATATCCAGCGTCAATATTAAGCAGGAAACACTGCTGGGTGTTGACCTCAATGTATCTTTTTATATTTACATATGCTCTCTCTCTCTCTCTGATACTGAGCACTAGAGCCCATATATATATATATATATATATATATATATATATATATATATATATATATATATATATATATATATAATAAATATTTATAATTAATGTAGCTACTTATGTTTGAACCCGGAAATAAGGATCTTCGGATCAAATTAATATAATTTTATTCTAAATAATTCCCGGAAAAATTACTATTTAAATACTTTGGATAGAGTTTAATGAATCCAGATGTAAGTTTTATTATCTTGTCATATTAGACAATAGATATTTTTGAGTGTACACATTCCGAAATTTTTTTTTTATTTATTTAATATCTGTTTGATATTTGGGACATCAAAATTTTCAGCTACTCTTACTGGTGCAATGTACAAATTTTCGTTCTTCCCGTGTAATTTCTACTTTTTTCTCATAATGTTCAACTTTCAGGTAAAATTATTATTCTTTTTATCTTCATAAACATATTTAGACTGGTCAATACTTCTAAAGTCCAAAATTTTTTTTCATTAGAATATCTCTATTTTCAACTGCCATTCCATGGGACAAATATTGAGCGGGCCTGAATATTCGACATCCGCTTTATATATTATGTTGCTAGTTAAACATTGACCACTGGAATGGCAGTGTTCTCTTCTCTTGCAGTTACAACTAGCTATGCTTTTATGTGATTTTTTAGTGTTCAATTGTTTTTCATTATGTTTTTGATAATGCTTTACATGATGGGTATAGAACCATAACTAAGTTTACGAAGTACATATTTGGCAGTGAAAAATTTATTTAATATTGAGATAAATGAAACGGGGAGTAAACCAAATAATCTCCCTTATTTTATTGTTTACCACAAGTGGCCTAACATTTCGAAATGTTCAACCCACCGTTTTCAATAACCAGTTTCATACTGTAAGATTTCTTTGTGATGCGCACAGATTGGCCGTAGTGGACAACCAACTTAATGATGACTAATGATAGTTTCGATACAGACGGCAATCTTCTGGAAATGTTTCAGATCAACTGCAAGATGATGTTTTATGGTTCAAATATGAATCATACATATGGGATTTGTGGCAAACAATGTTAGCAAAAAAGTCACGTTGAATCGAACACCATTAAAATTTTTTCATTAGTGTTTATACTTGTTTACGAGGTTTTATTGACTTTTATTGATTTATTTTTCACAGCTTATCAACCTTTTGGGAGTAATTTAAAGGCAACAAATATTTTTGAAAGAATTTTGGGGGGATAATAATTACTATTTAGCCCATAGCTTGGAAGAGAAGAGGTGGATTCATACATTTCCTTATGATATTTCACCGTAAATTAATATTATAAATCCGACAGGAATTCAAACCTGGCTCTCCGATTTCTCTTTTTGAGCTTTTATTCATTACACCTCCCACAAATTTAAGCTTACAGCAAATGGTATTACCCAACGGTCACCCACCTATGAACTGACCAGGTTTAACGTTGTTTAATCAGGGATAAGCTGTAATTTATAATATTAGATCATTGCTAAGGTTTGTGCTCGAATATTCTTTTCCAAGTTTATTTGCGCGTAAGTGAATATAAGAAACCCAACTGAAATTAGAACTCGGCTCTCCGATTAACAATTCTGAGCCATTATCTATTACACCAGTCGCACATCCAAAACTTACAGCACCTGATATTCCCAAGCGGTAACCCACCTAAGTACTTACCAGGCTCAACGATGCTTAACTTCGGTGATCGTACGGGAACCGGGGTTGCAACGCGGTGTGGCTGTAAGCCTAATAGAAAGAAAGTTAACATGCAGATAAGATTAGATACAAAAAACATTTTTATTGTAAGTTTATTTATTGTTTTTGGCGTTAAATTTATTTTCTTTTTCTTTGAGTTTCTCATTTAAGCTCTGTCTTATTAGTTCCTGAGAAAAATCCTCGCCTCCTTGGTTACTTTCGTCCCTGTCTGAAATCCCCAGACGCCAATGTACATTGTCTTTTGCCGTCAACAGGCCAAGCAGTTACCTATCTCAGCTGCGTAGCGAGCCTGAAGCCATTTTGGTACACAATAATACGGGATTCTGCACAGACAGGGTTTATTAGTTATGGCTTGCAGGCGTACACCAGTTACAAATGATAAAAAGCGATATTAAAGCGACATTATGTCTTTAAAATAATAGTCTTTTTTCGACTTCATGGACGTCTTTGTTTGTATATAGAAGGAGAGTCTTTTTTTATTTATATATATATATATATATATATATATATATATATATATATATATATATATATATATATATATATATTGTTTATGTTTAAAGGGTTGCTTTTGATCTAAGAACTTGATCGCAAACATTTTGATTTACATAGTGCCGTGGAGGATATGTAAACATTCCAGCAAGAGTAACCGGTGTTTTTCGGGTTAAAATAGCTTCTGCTATCTCCATGTTTTGTTTTTTTTTTGGTTATTTACCATTGTGTTAATTAAATTAGTTGATGAAACAATGATTTTAAAAATATATATTAAATAAGGAAAGAAAATGTAAATGTTAAGTACGTCACAAAAAACTATTTATTTGTGTGTCCTTTTTTGCATTCCAGTGAACGATCAAAATTTATTTTCGATTTATTCATTTTAAGGAGGAAGAGTTTGGGGGCTTTTTTTTTTGGTCTAATTTCCACTTTCTCCTTTTCTTTCTTAAAGTTTAAGAAACAATATCAAAAAGAAATAATTAAATAGTTGTATCAGTTTCCTGTCTATGACGTGTCGCGTCAAAACATGTCTATTCATTTCTCCTTGATATCGACATTACTGATCACGTAAAATCACATTAAAAAAAAAACAAAAAAAAACAACAAAACTCCTGGATTCTGGAGTCAAAAAAAAAAAAAAGTACGAAAATTTAAATATCTGGCAATATTTTAACAGAGGATGTGACTCCGAAATCCGAAGTTGCACGGGAATAGATAACGATGCAATTCAAAACAAAAAATAAAAATAGGAACGATGAAAATTTCACTACAAACAAAAAAGTATTCTGAAATTCTATGTAACAACAATCCTCTCATATGACAATGATAATTTTTTCAAAGAGGAAGAGGTGACTCGATTGATTGATTTATTTGTTGTTTTTACGGATTATCAACCTTTTTTACATTATTCGGACTATTATCCTTATCTTTGTTGCCATATTTATCACAATATTTCGGCCGTTGTACGCTCCGGCCTTCTTCAGGATATTTAAAGCCATAAAATAGTTTTAGATTGTGAGAATTATGGGATAATAATGATTTACTGACACAATCCTTTCAATAAATGCATAGCTGATGAGAGAAGAGATGGGTTCCAACCTTCATGCATTACCTGTCCATCCAAGTTTACAATGGTATTCCCAAGAGGTCACCCATCTAGGTACGTACCAGATTCAGCGTTGCTTAACTTCGGTGAAAGCACAAGAACTGGTGTTTCAACGTGACTCGAATAGTTGACATGTGTTGACTTGAGGCAACAAATATGTATTTTAAATGATCTATGCATCGATGTATTTGAAGTGTTCAGTATTTATTAATTCGATTCTTTTTTTAAGCGTTTCACCCTAAGCAAGGCGGGAAGCCACTAGGATGCAAGGGGTTACAGGAAATAGCAAGATCAGATAGGAGTGATAGAAGAAAGAATGAGGGTAGTGGATAGATCAAGGCAACTGGAGATGTCGATTGACATTACACTTGAATAGCTGGAGATTATAGCTCACAGGGAAACAGGAGAAGGGAAGGGAGTTCCACTGGCGAGATATGCGAGACATGAAGCTATTAGAGTAGAAGAGACGGCTACATTTAGGAGTTTCGACAATGATGGGGTGAGAGCGGGATGCCAGTCTCGTAGGGCGCTGGAACTCATGACGTCTGGGAACCAGCGATATACTGAATTTTGTAATGGATTCAGAGTACGTACTATCACTGCATTTAGTCCTATGATATATCATCATTTCTGTTTTGAAAAGGTGTATCTTGAGTCCTATTTCTTATAGATGTTGTTTTTAAATCCTGTTGGTTGTCTAGCTACCATCCTCACCTGAACGGTCTGGTGGGAGAATATGGTTTAGTCACCGATGACCCGACCCTATTGTAGGTAGTACTGGATTAATTAGTATCAGTGGCCCTCTTAGAATGTCCTGAGATTAGTACCATAATTATAACCAGACAAAACTCAGACAAAATATATATTAGCTTTGCGTTTGTTATTTCCATTCTTCTTTATTTTTTGTTCTTCTTGAGTCAGAATCAAAATGAGATAAATACGCAGATATCCTGCGTTAAATTCTCACTGGGAGCCGTACACAAAATTCCAGATTAGATATTACGTGTCGTAAATCAACCAAATGTCTTTGGAGCACCCCGAGGCTGTGTAATGGTTAGCAAGCTTGTCTCACTAGAACAATTACGACTGGCTAGTGAGTCCGATCCTCACTAGATGCCCACTAATTTTGACCTTGTGTCACATCTAAGCTACGCTTGGAAAATCACTTGGACTGCCGGCCCGCTGTTAGAGATTTTTCTTCAGCTGGGCTGGTTAAGCTCTCTGCTTCTGGGCAGAGAGCATCCTCGGACGGGGCTTTGTGGAAGGAACGAATCTCATCTCGGGAAACACCTACCCGCCCCCATTTTATACGCGGTATACGGGAAATTTTTGGCTGAGCCTACGGGCTCGGGAACGCCACATTAAATTCGGCTTTGTGCCACATCTGACTGCGTGGGGCAGTTGGTAGATATCATCTTCAGGGCATAATATCTTTTCTCTTTGCACCTTTTCTATCTGCTAATAGACGTTAATTCTTATTAATTCGTATTAGCTAAGTCTGCCACAAGGCTAAAATTTTAGAAACCTTTGTTTAAAATAACTGCTTTGATTGATTCCTTCTTTTACAGCTAATAAACCTTTGCAAGTTATTTAAAGCGAGAAAATACTTTTAGAATTTTGGGGGGACAACATTTTGGTTCTATAGAGACTACTACTAGGACAACGTTTTAGCTGTTCAATAATAATAAAAATATTAATGATAATAACTCTGTTACTTATTTTCATTAACGATCTCCCCGATGTCATTTGTTCCCAAATAGACATCTATTCTGGCGACACTACTATTTACTCCTGCCTCAATAACAAGTCTGGTATCGCTGACAAAACTAATCTGTCCGTTAGTCTCGAAAAGGACCCCCAATCGGTTGTAGACTGGGGTAGGAACTGGCTGGTTAACTTTAATGCCTCTAAAACAAAACTGTTCTTTATTACTCACCACAGGGAACCATCTCTGCCGCCCATTAGAATGTCTGATGCTCAACTCCAAAGAGCACCTCTTTACGACTACTCGGTCTCACACTGTCCGCTGACCTGAGATGGAACAATTGCATTGAATCAATTGCTTCATCCACCGCAAGGAAAGTTGGTTCCCTGTGTTGCGCCCAAAGGTTTTTCTCGCCCGAGTCTATCTTTCAAATCTATAAATCAACCATTCGCCCTTTGTATGGAATACTGCTGCTGTTCGCCTTAAGGTCCTCGACAAGATCCAGAGACGGATATGCAATGTGGTTAGTCCGTATCTGACATCTCGTCTACAGTCGTACTCTCACAGACGTGCCGTCGCCTCCCTCTGTCTTTTCTACAAATACTTTCACGGTAACTGCTCCGACGAGATACTTTCGCTAGTTCCCAGACGGCATGAATTTAAGCGTGCTACTAGGCTGGCATCACGGTCCCACCCTTTCACTATTGAAACGGTTAAATGCGGCCGTCTCTTCTACTCCAATAGCTTCATGTCTTGCACTTCCCGTCTGTGGAATTCCCTTCCTATTAATTGTTTTCCTGATAGCTATAATCTCCATCCATTCTAATGTGATGCCAATCTGACCTATTCCCTGTCCTCTTCATCCTTTCCTCTATCACACCTCTTTACTCTTGCTCTCACTCTGTAACCCCTTGCGTACTAGTGGCATCACGCTTGGGGTGAAATGCTTAAATATATAATAATAATAATAATAATAGTATGATAATAATAATGATAATAATAATATAATAATGATAATATAATAATGGTAATAATAATATAAGAAGAATGATAATAATAATGTAATATAATAATAACGATAATAATAATATAATATAATATAATATACTACTACTGCTACTAATACTACTACTACTACTACTACTAATAATAATAATAATAAATTATTGGGTTGGTGCATAATTATCAGGCGTTTTTTAGGCGAGTTATTTGTTAATAAAAATTGCTCTTTTGTTTACTTTTTTAATAAAAATATTTTATTTTCAGGTTATAAAAATGAATGTCGATAATCATACTTATTTAAAAATGTTATCGTTGAATTATTCTGTTTCTTTTTCATAATAAATATTGTTTAAGAAAAGCCTGATAATTTTGCACCAACCCAATAGCAGGCATACATACTAAAAAATGTTTTAACCCGAAATGCAGATTCTGTGATAAATATCCAGTAACAATTAACCGTCTTGTATCAGGTTGCACGGTGTTAGCACTCACTGAACTCAGCAAGATAGAGTGGGCCAATATTTGCAAGAAATTGGTATGAACATCTCCCAGACCCGGTTACAGAGATATAACCTGTGATAATTTCATGGGACTTTACGATACACAAAGTCACAACATTCCCAGACAATGTGATCAAAGACCACAAAAAAAAGAATGTGACTTTTTTATTGATATGACGGTCCCTGCAGATTGTAATGTATCTTTGAAGATCTTAGATAA